GTGAGCTCGCTCTCGCTGTCGTAGTTGTAGGCGTAAAGATCTATGACATATCTCTTTTGCCAGCGATGTTGTCAGTCGTGACGAGTGACTAGTCCACGATTTCTTATTTTACATACATTTCTTCTCCGTGTTACGATAACCGGTTGAAGTAAATCCTCGCGGTTTGCCGTTGTCGTTGCGAATCGCTACTCTTCTATTTTCTTCTTTTTCTTTGTTGAAAGTAAAACAAAAAATGAAAAAAATGAAAATAACGTAAAAGCGAACATTTAAAAACTGCAAATTAATATAAATAATCGGCTATTGGCACTTAACGCCCCCTCTTCTCTGTTGTCTTTCTTTTTCTCTTCCTATCTTGGCCCTTACGTGTATGATCTCGTCCACCGATATCCGACACAGCACCAAAAGAGGACCCTTAAAATGCTGTGGAAGGACGTCACCGGAAGATCGCCAGAAGCCTACGGACCAGGATGTTCGTCAGAGCAGGTATTAAGCCGCCCCGGTATGTGGAAGGGCGTCGCCTGCCGGGACGCCCGTAGATCCAGCGAAGGACCAGGAACTCGCAGCGCAGGTACCAGTCACCTAAGGATGCTGTGGACGGGCGCCGCCTGCCTGGACGCCGCAGATCCAAGAGTTCGTCAGCACAAGTATTAGCCGCCCTGAGATGCCGAAGAAGACGCTTCCTGCCCGGACGCCCGTAGCCGAGAAGGACCTGGACGAGATCTGCGAGGACGTGTGGACGAGTATGCCTGGACGAGGAATACGAGGAAGTCTAGACGAATCCGAAGTCAAGGAGGACCTGTGCGAGACCTTCGAGGACGCGTGGACACCGAGGACGGTCGGACTACACCAAGGACCCAGAAGAGGACGAACAGCCACGAAGATCCGCCAAGGACAACGCACGTGAGAAAGAGATGACCAGCCAATCAGTTCCGGCCAAAGTTGGGTCACCCTTGAGGCAAATCTAAGGCGCCTCGAGGGCGAGACGTGAGTAGGTGCCCGAGCAATACACCGTGTACATAAGCACAATTTGTGTAAGCCATTCGACACAGACCACGTGGCTGTTTGCCACGTGGCTCAAAGTCCAGTAATGATCCAGCGGCTCAGCGAGGACTTCGATAACGAGTTTGTCTCACCTCGTCTGGCCTATCAGTTCGTGTCCAACACTCGCCGGGCTCACGTCATATCACCAGCCTGTGTGTGAGTGTGTGTGTGTGTGTGTGTGTGTGTGTGTGTGTGTGTGTGTGTGTGTGTGTGTGTGTGTGTGTGTGTGTGTGTGTGTGTGTGTGTGTGTGTGTTTGCCCACGTGTGGGAACAACTAGCAACATCCTCTTTTCACCTCTTCCTCCACAAGCAGTCGTTCCCTATGCTAAAATCGGCCAAAGCAATTTGCCACAAAATAAAAAACAATTACAGAAACCGAGCAAAACCAAAGAGCGCGCTTGGCCTTACCACCGGCTGGCTCTCATTGCACATTTTCTTGATGGACGAAGAGATGTGGGTGACATCCGACCAGTAGATGCAGTTCTCGACGAAATCGTAGTCCAGCCCCACCGCATTGGTGAGGTTGGCCACCAGCAGCTTGTTGTTGCTCCCGTCGGTGTTGATCTCACGGATGTAGTAGCGGTTGGAGAAGATCAGCCTCGCCTTGACAGCTGCAAGGGTGGGGACATTATTTAAAAGAGAATTCTGAATCATTTCCATAAGGAGGAACTCGTTAAAAACTCAGAAGTGTTAATGATATGATCGGAAATGCGTATAGAGAGGTATGGAGATGAAATTTTTAAAAAAATCCAAGGCAAAATATACAATAAATCAGCAACAAACCAACATCCCATCACCTTCAGAATCACACAAACAAACAAACAATTCAAAAATATACACAAACCGCACCTTACACACACGCACGCACGCACACACATCCAACACAACAACAACACAAAACTTACTCGAGTTCGCGCCACACTTATGGCCGTCGTTCTCCGAAAGGTACCCATCGGCACACGCGCACTTGTACGAACCCACTGTATTATGGCAAATGTGAGGACACGGGTAATCCTCGCACTCGTCCACGTCGCTGCAGAGCTTCGGGTCCTTCGGGTTCACTTGGTAGCCCTCCCTGCACTCGCAAGTATAGCCGATGGGTTTGTCGATGCATATCTGCGCGCACACCTTCGGCTGGTCGGACAAGCACTCGTTGATATCTGCGGGGGGGGGGGGGGGGGGGGGGGGGGGTCAAAGTTGTAAGCAGTTGTAAGAAGATTTAGCCAGAATAGTATAATCTTTTATTCAATATGTGACGGCAGATATGTATACGAAACGACGCGAAATAAAAATGTAATAATATGGAGGTGGGGCAAGGTAAGTGCGAGGAAGAGGGAGAGTGAAAGCGTGTGAATGAGTGAGTGAAAGTGTATATATATAAAGATATTTTATATATATTATATATTATATATATCATATATATAAATATATATATATATATATATATATATATATATAT